TAGGTAAAGATTAACGATAAAGATTAATCTTTAAACAGCACACAAAAAAGCATGAACTATAAAAGATGCTGTCAAGAAAAAGACAAGACACAACAGGGAGAAAATATCTGCAAAATACACTATCTGGTTAAGGATTTGTATCAAAGGCTACATAAAGAACTATTACAATATTAAGAAGGTAAATCTAAATATTTAACCAAAGTATATGGATGGCAAATAAGCCATGAAAATATACTCAAAATCATTAATCATGAGAATTAAATCAAATGCAAATTAAAACAATAATGGTATCATTATACCTACATATCTATTTAAAAAGCTAAAATTAAGAAGACATAATGCCAAGTGTTGATAAGAAGTAACAACTAGAACTCTCAAACATTATAGATGTGAACGCCATATGGTATGATTATTTTGAAAAAGTTTCTTACGGAGTTAAACACACCACACAACTCAGAAATCCCATGGTAAGTATTACTCAAGAAACAAGGATTTAGGAATTCCCCAGCAGTCCAGTGGTTAAAACTCTGGGCTTTAACTGCCAAGGCTCTGGGTTCAATCCCTGGTTGGAGAGCTAAGAAAAGGCCTCAGGACACAAAGGCCAAGGATTTAAGTGTCCTACCCTACTTATTCTTTGCAAAGTATAAATTTAAAGTTTTATTATCTGTATCTTCATTAGCTATCAGCAGTATTCAAAAAAAAATTTTTTAATCTGCCACCCTAAGTCAGTCACCCTAACATTCAATTACAACTATAAAAAACACACACCACCTAGTAGTTTTGCAAACCTCAAGCCAATACTCATCAGTGGATATTCTACTGGGTAAACACCAACATTTTTTAATAACATGATATGAAAACAGAACGCACCATACCTGCTGCTGCTGCTGCTAAATCGCTTCAGTTGTGTCCGACTCTGTGCGACCCCATAGACGGCAGCCCACCAGGCTCCTCCATCCCTGGGATTCTCCAAGCAAGAATACCAGAGTGGGTTGCCATTTCCTTCTCCAATGCATGCATGCATGCTTAGTCGCTTCAGTCGTGTCCGACTCTATGCAACCCCATGGACAGCAGTCCACCAGATTCCTCGGTCCACAGGACTCTCCAGGCAAGAACACTGGAGTGGCTTGCCATTTCCTGCTCTGGCACCATACTTAGTAAGGTTAAATGTCATTTGGGAAATCTTTTTAGTTATGTGTGTATCACAAATTGCCATGTAACTGTAATATTACTGTGGATAATGGTCAAAACATTTGAAAAACACTGCCATAAAACATACCTGCAATATAAATTTCATGCTATCAGAAGTTCCTATCCCTTTTAAACACTTTAATTCTACACCAAGTAGGAATGAAATCTACAACAGAGCTATTCAATGGTCTGCCATCGTTATGATTAATAATATGCATTTGGTGGCCTAATCTTCAGGAATTATCAGTAGATTCTCTAACATGTATTTGTCATATCTGTCACTCACTATTAAAATCAGACATTTTTCAGCTTTCATTGAGATTTTTTTTTTTAAGACTAAGGAAACAAAATACAAATATTTTCACTTACTTTTCCCCAGTAGCTAACAAAGGGGCAACACTCAGAATTTTCTGACCCTTATAAAATATATTGTAACTTTCCAACACTTTATGAAGAACTTTGTAAGTCTGAATATAGATGTACTCAAGATACACTACAAGACTAATCTAAATGCAAAATTAACCATTTCAATACATAGTGACCCTAATGATATTCAAAGGACAGAGCCATTCTAATCCCCTTACAAAAAGATATTTCAATCTTCACTATAAAGTTGTCACTGGCTTCGTGGTTCCTATTCCCCCAACCGCCTCCTCAGGACAAATTTCTCTGTTGAAATTCTATCCCCCAAGGTATTAGTATTAGGAGACAGGAATTTTGGGGAGGTGATTAGGCTTGGGTGTGTGCATGCTCAGTTGTGTCAGACTCTTTGCAACCCCACGGACTGTAACCCAACAGGCTCCTCTGTCCATGGGATTTTCCAGGCAAGAATTCTGGAGTGGGTTGCCATTTCCTTCTCCAAGACTCGGGTTAGGGCCCTTATAAAAAAGACCCCAGAGAATGAGCTCACCTCTTGTGCCTTGTGAGGTTACAGTGAAAAGATGGTTATGAACCAGGAAGCAGGCCCCCAGCAGACTTAAAACCTGACCATGTGAACACACATGGTGTGTTCCAACTTCCCAAATTTTGAAACATAAATTTCTGTTGAAACAATTTTCTTTGATAGGAGGAAGAGAGATAAATAACCAAATTTAAATAAAATCACCTGTAATGTTTCAATACTACTATTCAAAAGATACATGTTATGATTAATTTGAAATGCATGTTATAAAAAAAAGTTGCTTCTATCCCATTTTACTGTTATTTAGAAATAATTCATTATTATAAGTATATATAATAGACATAATTAGAGAAATATTTAACTTATGATATTATAAACAATCAAAATGTTTAAATACTGAAGTCTCCCAAAAAAAAGAATCCATTTACTTTTTAAAACCCTTTTTAAAAAGGGGCTTTTTAAAAAGATTTTATGAGTACTTCAGGTACAATCACTGACCAATCAGAGAACCAGATCCCACATGCGGCAACTAAGAGCTTGCAGGTCACAACTAAGGATTCATTATACTGCAACAAAAACAGAAGATCCCACATGCCACCACTAAGGCCCTGTGCACCAAATAAATAAATTTTTAAAAATTATTTTTAGAAAATCTCATTAATTCAGACAGTGCTAATATGGATTTTGCTGTTTCCTGAATGCTAAGCCAAGATTAGCACTGGAGTGTGGATGAGCTAGATAAACTAAAAGTGTAAAGAAAGTCTCTTAAGGCCAAGAAATTACTTTTCAAACTATTTCTGAATACTTAAAAAAAACCCACTTTTAAAAAAACCCCACTTTTAAAGGAAGCTGTTCCAAGAATGCAATAAAGTATGTATTACTAGCACATTTAAAATAGTATGTAAGACACGGAATTCATTGTATGAATATACATGTTTGAAAAATCTGTAATTTAGACTTTCTACTAAAGACAGTGAAGTCACATTCTTCAATTCCCCTCCACCCAAGACAAACTTCACTTCCATTATAGAGCTAAAAGAGAAAGGGAAAAAGAAAATTTATGATCTTAACTATATTTTAATTGACTCTATCATAGATACAACTGAACTGTGCCAGCAGAAAACATTAATAATAAAACTAAATATAATCACTACTCATTCAAATGCTCCAACTAATTGAAATAAAGGACCACATATAAATTCACTCATATAGAACATGTATTCTGTTTATTAAGCTAAAATTAAGTTCTCAGCAAGTAAATATTAAAAGAAATATTACACATCTTTTAGGTTAATGGTTTAAAAAAGCATTCTCTATTCATATTAAATTTTAAAATGATTAATCACCACTCCAGGTACTTATCCTAGAACAAATGCACAAAAACCACGTACTGATATAAGGATGTTCACTGTTAATAACAGCAAAAGTACAGGAAAAGAAAGAAGGCTGAGTCAATCTTGACACCTTCATACTGTTAAATACTATGTAACAGTTTAAAAGACTGCACAGATATATTTCTACGACCATGCAAAGATCTCCAAGATGTAATGGAAAGGCAAGCTGCAAAACAATATTTACAATATGACATCATACATGTAGGTCACACACACACACACACACACACTCCTACAGCATTTCTATATGTACACATGTGCTTGTGAGAATTCAAAGGAAAAGGTCTAGAAGCATATTCAGGAAACAGAACATTGTTACCTCTCTAAGGATGTGTGTGTGAAACGAATGGGAAGAATCATAAGAATTTGTGCTTCATTTTTACAAGGAGAATGTACTCATGTCACTTGAGACACTAAAAAAGCAGGAGGAAAGAAAAAAATGCCTGTCAACTTCTCTCAAATAATCACAAACCAGAACTATTAGGTGCAATGAGATTTCAATTTCTTTCACTGATTTTAAGTCAAAACCATCTGACTTAAAATCATTTAAATGGCATTTAAAGCATTTAAATGACATCAACAAAAACCTAAGATAAAAGTGACAAAATTGGTAAGAAAAAAACTTTAATGATGTTGTCTTGCCTTCAAATTAAAAATAAAACAGAAAAAAGACTAATAAGATTGCAGAGGAAGGAAGAAAAAAGACTCTTACTAAATCCATCCACTTTTAGCTCAAGCGTGACCCAGAATCCTCACAAATCCACTTATACAAAACGAAAAAAAAAAAAAAAACAACTGGACTACCGTTCCCTCAAGTATCGAAGGTTGTTTTTAGAAAGCTTAACTAAGAAACAGTAAATGCCAAGTGTTTCACCGGTGTGGGAATGGGAACGCGAAACCCTACACCTCCTTAAAGCAATCTAAACGACTGAACAGCAGAGTCCAACTGGGAAAGCGCGCGGGGGTGGGGACAGCTCAGCTATCACTTTTAGGTTCTGGCTCGGAGCCGCGGAACAGTTTACCCCCAGTCTGTTTGGAGCGCGGAGTCCCCGAGGGTGGTCAACGCGTCGCCGCCGACACCTAAGCCCAACCGAGACTTCAGAGGAGGGGCGGTCAACACAAACTTAGATCCTTCGGCTGAGCCGGGAGAGCGCTGAAGAGCAAAAGCGCCAACTTTTGCTCTAAACGCGGCAGCTCCGGGAGGTTCGACAAGTCTTCCCCCAAGCCCCGCTCCTGAAACGATCCCAACACCTTTCCCGGCCAATGCTGTCCGCCCCAGGTCCGGCCCCCGGAGGAAAATCCGACCAGGGCGGCGGCTGGCGGCATGAAAGAGTGCCTTAGCCGCGGGAGGACGACAAGGGCGCGGGGTCCGTCGGCTGCGGGCCACCGGCACCTCAGAGTCTCCGGGACGCCCCCGCCCAGCAGCTGTCCCGTCTCCAACAGACCGCGACGCGGCCCCCTCCCCCACCTCGGGGCGGCGACCTCCGCGCCCCTGCCCCGGGGCCCCTGCTCACCGAGGTAGCGGCTCCGCAGCCGGGACGGGTCCTCCAGCCCGAGGGACCTGTTCCTCACGTCCCACAACAGGTGTGGGCAGGAGCCACCCCGAGACATGGCTCTGCCAGGCTGGGGGAGGAGGGGAGACCACCGCGTGGGGGAGGGGAGCAGGGGGAAGAGACACGCGGATCAACACCCGAGCCGCACCGGGACCATCCACGCGCCGGGTCTCTCAAGCGCAGCGAGTTAGATGGCGGCGGCGGCGGCGCCTTCGCCTGCGAAGTCCGGCCGTACCCGGGCTGGAGCTCGCTTCATACTCTCCTTCTCAGACTACCCAGAACAACCAGAGACCAGCAACAGTCCCCTCCCTCGGCACCCCCTCCTGAAGGAGGAGGCGGAGGCGGCCTCGACTCCTCCCTCTCCTGGTTCTCTACACCCGCCCTTCCAAACCTTTCTCGCGAGATGACTACCCCTGGGCACTGAGGCAGGTGTGTGCCGTGACCGCCCTTACCCTAGAAAACTGGGTTCAGGCCATTCTAATTAAATCCTCAATACTCTCTGGATAAAGGAGGAATAGAGAAGTAGCTGAAGTCGTAAGTCTCGCGCTCACGAGTCTCATTCCAAAGGAAGCAAGAGAGTTATGCGGCGTCATCTTTAGTCGGGGCACGGAAGGCCCAAATAGTCCATTTTATTTAGGGGCCTCCTTAACCAAAGTGAAAGGGTATCCGCCGATGCAGCTTCAGTTTCCCTTCTCCAACATGGCTTCCAGAACAGGAAGAAGAAATTGGAGGCTTGCTTTGACCCTGCCCGCGCCCGGGACGGGCCAATCAGTGCGGGCAGCTCTGGTTGCGCAAGCGCGCTGCCTGTAGGCCTCTGGGTTGACTCGCTGAGGCCATCCTTTAGCCACCTGTTTTAGCCACTCCTCCCGGGTCCCGGCGGTGAGAAGCCAGTAGGCGGGCTCGGGGCGGGCCGTCGCAGAGTCTCCGCCCCCACAACCTTTCCTGGGCGCGGGCCAAAGGGTGGTTCGCTGGGGGGTCAGGCTCAGCCACGGGAAGGGCAGGCACCCAGCGAGAGAGGGCGCGAGGCGTTGATACAGGGGAAAGTGACGGGCTGCCCTACATTGCCAGCCAGGGACGAGCACGCGGCCACGCTACCACCCGGCTGCCCACGATCACTCGTCCGCAGTAATGTCAGCCGCCGGCGTCCGGGGCCTGCGGGCCACCTACCACCGGGTCCTTGATAGAGTGGAGCTCCTGCTGCCTGAAAAATTGAGGCCGTTGTACAACCACCCGGCAGGTAATGAACCCAGAGTGGCTCCCACCGAGACCTCCCTTCCTGTCCCTTTCCTCCCTCTCCCGATCCGCTGACAACTCTGCCAGTGGCCAGTTCACCCACAGCCCCAACCCCTGTTCCTCAAGTGAATCAGTGTACTTTCCCATGCTCCTTGCTTTTCACATTTTCTTTCCCAACATGTCTAAAGCTCGTGATTTTCAAGTCTGCGCCCTTTGCGACCTTTGTTGCACTGCTTCTCTTAGGCACCACTCAGATCCGGACCAGGCCTCTTGGTTTGACCCTTCTCCGTTTCTGCGGCCAGGAAAGGGCCTGGGCCACCAGGAAACCTCATTCTCTCCCCTTTCGTTCCATGAGTAGTGATATATTGACCCACGCGCAGAAGAGCTGTCTTACCGCCCCAGAGTGTTTGGAGTAAAGGTCATACTTCCTTCAGCTCCAGCTGACAGGCCTGCAGAAGCCTTAGCCAGTTTCTGAGTCCCTGTCATTCCTAGGTCTAGTTTGTTTAAGTCTATCCTAAATTACTATTGAACAAGCTCCTTCTGAACCTTTTTGTGTGGACAGACCTGGATTTAAATTCTGCTCTGCTGCTAATTGTAGATGTGACCTTGGGTAAAATCCTAGATCTTAGTTTCTGTGAAATGTGGTCGATGTGAAAGTTAAAGATAACATATGTGTTTGATTCTTCGTAAGCGCTCAATAAATATTAGCTCTCTCTTTAACCTATTGGAAAACAGCGTTCTTGTAGTTGAAAAAATAATTCTGTAAGAAACTGGAAGATCCCAATGCCTCCAACTCTTTATTTTAAGGTCTAAAATCCTGTTACCTCTTATATAAACGTTAGTAATAGTACTTACTTGGCTGGGAACTCAAACCAGATACATTCTGAAATCACTTTCAAGCCTAAGACTTAGCAAAGGAGAAAGTGTGTTATAAATAGAAAGATTGAAGTGCAACCCCCCTGTGGCCCTTTTCTCTACATGGTTAAATCTATCTCTGCAGTTGGTGTCGTTAGGAAAGTTGTATACCTCCCCACATAGCTGACTATGAAGCAGCTCTTGGGAATGTAAGATGATTGTTAAATCTGATTTCCAAGTTTGATAATGGATTAATCTGTGTCTTGGAATTATGCTTTAGTATAATATTATTTATTGCAGTAGTTTACCCTTTATAAATCTGACCTTTAAGGAGAGATTTTTATTAATGAAGAAGATTAGTTTATTTGCTTTTTGGTTCTTTAAGACACAGTTTTTGGAAATTGTCCTCTGTTTTGTGGCAGAGATTTTCAGGAGGAAGAGTTGAGCAATGCTTCTGTAATAATCTGGGCTTTTTTTTTTTTTTTCGTTTTCTGGCCACACTGTATGGCATGATTATGGCCTGCATGATTTTGGCCAATTGTTTGGCATGTGGGGAATCTTAGTTCCCCAACCAGGAACTGAATGCTCATTCCCTGCATTGGAAGCTCCAAGTTTTAACCACTGGGCCACCAGGGAAATCCCTCGGCTTTAGTCTCAACTGAATTCTTGTGGTCAATGCTGACCCTCTTAAGCTTTGTATTTGGTCTGTAGGATAAAGACAGGCTAGAGGAGGAACAATTTTAAACTACTTTAAAACAGAATTGGAGGGTAGTTTTATAGTGATCTTTTCCAGGGTCTTGGCTTTAACCACTTATAGTCATTGTTTATAATAGTTTATTCAACTTTTAGAATGAAAGGGAATTATCTTTTGAGATTGATTTGTAGATCATGTATTTTAACTAGATACTCTTGGACTAGTTCAGTTATTGTAACCCTTTTTTCAGTGTGATGGAAGGAGCTAGACTTTGAAGCCAGATTGACCAGTGTGACCTTGATCTTAAATCCCCTAACCTTTAGCTCTAATATATAAAATGGGAATAATAATTATCTCCAAAATAATGGACATGAATTTGAGCAAGCTTCGGTAGTTGGCGATAGACAGGGAAGCCTGGCGTGCTCCAGTCCATGGGGTCACAAAGAGTCGAACACGACTGGACTAAACTGAACTGAACTGAATTATCACCATTTAAGGATTGTTGTGAAAGTTAAGTGATGTATTGTCTGTAAAATGTAGCTGTGTTTGCACATAGACTTTCAACAAATGTTAGTGTTAGTTCTCTCTTATTTACTAATATCCGGAGTAAGAATACCCATCACTGCAAAATTGATTAAAAAGTTGTAGGCACACCAATGCAGAAATGAAGAAACATGAAAAATATAACTTGTTGATTGTCACAAGTATTGAATAAAATCTGAGGAAACTATTGTTCTAAGACTTAACAGGGAATATTCAAGGTTTTTGTGTACTAGTTTACATTATAGTGTGTTTTTGAATCATTAAATGATATATCTAATCATCATTAGACTGGATTCACATATTGGAGGTTTTCACAGTAATATGCAAGGCTGGGTTCTAAATTTTTGAGATTTAATCGTATCATTGACAAATATGTCTAGACAAGTCACAAGAATATGTCTTTATATAAATACCTATTAGACTTAGAATATTGCATTCTATATATGTATAGTTAGACCTGTGGTCTTCATCATGCATTTATCTACATATTGTCTGTGGCACATAATCATCTACTTCTTTAGAGTAAGAATAGAGTTCTATTCCAAATGTGTGTCCTGGCAAGTTCAGTTCTCAGTCCCCCCACCGTCTCCTGACTGTCAAAGTATGCTGTCCAGTGTTTACTGTAAAAATCATGCTGCCCAATGTTTACTTAAAAGCTTAGTTTGGGGGAAAAAAGTTATTAGTGGAAAAGTATCTTTCATTTGTATTTATGAGCTCCAGAATGGGGTGAATTGTCCCAAAGGATGCACAAAATGAAACTTTGGACTATAGGAAGAAAACAGTAGAACTTCTGTTAGTACTTACTTTATCTTTTTAAAGTTTCCATTTTGTGTATATTTTATAATATATAATGTATTAGTGCACATTTACATATATGTGTATGTGTAAATAGACAGTCTCTTTCTTAGGATGGTTCAACTTAAGATTTTTCAGCTATACATGATGGCTCAAAAGCAGTATAAATTCAGTAGAAATCCAAATTTTGATCTTTTCCTGGGCTAGTGATACGTGGTACGGTGCCCTTACAGGTGGCAGCGACAAACCACAACTCCCAGTCAACCATAGAGTAAACAACCAATGCCTCTCTTCTGCACCCATGTAACCATTCGTTTTTCACTTTCAGTACGTGTGTGCTGCATTCTTGGTCTCTCAGTCGTGTCTCTTTGTGACCCCGTGGTTCTTCTGTTCACGAAGTGGGTTGCCAAGATCTCCTCCAGGAGATCTTCCCTACCCAAGCATTGAACCTGCATTTCCTGTGTCTCCTGCATTGGCAAGCAGATTCTTTACCACTGTGCCACCTGGGAAGCCCCACTGTTCAATAAATTGCATGAGATATTCAACAATTTATTATAAGCTTTATTTATTTACTATATATTAGCAATTTATTATAAATAAGCTTTGTGTTAGATGATTTTGCCCGATTTAAGGGTAGGTTAGAGTAAGCTAGGTGTATTAAATAAATTTTCAATTTATGATATTTTCAACTTTCAATGGATTTATTGGGGTTTAACCCCATCATAAATTGAGGAAAATCTGTACACACCTGAATTCCATGGAGTCAACATGTATATATAAATTGTATATAGAGGGTATATGCTCACATATTTTTTAAACTGATGGGGCAGTATGTTCCAAAGAAGTTAGGAAAGGACTTCTCTGGCGGTCCAGTGGTTAAGAATCCTCCTGCCAATGCACAAGTTCAGTCCCTGCTCCAGGAAGATCCCACATGCCTTGGGACAACTGAACCCACGCGCCACACCTACTCTAGAACTCTGGAGCCTATGTTCCACAACTAGACAGTAGCCCCCGCTCACCTCAGCTGGAGAGAGCCTGCATGCAATGAAGACCCAGTGCAGCCGTAAATAAATAAATTTGTAAAAATTGTAAAAAAGTTAGGAGACCACAGCTCTAAAGAGTTGTACCTTAGAAATTACCTGGTTAGGACTTTGAACTTTCACTGCTATGGCCCAGGTTCAGTCCCTGCTTGGGGAACTAAGATCCCACAAGCGGTGAGGTGCAGCCAAAAAAAAAAGTTATATCTCAATAAAACTGGGGAGGAAATTAAATGAGAAATAAATAATAAAAATAAAAACTATCCTTCAATTAAGTCAGCACAGAAAATAACTATCTTAACCATATAATTTTTGCTTACCATAGCTTTGCTTATAATGAGTTATATTTTGGCTTAAGTGGAAGAACTTTTGGAAAAATATTTCTGCAAAATATGTTGCTGTGTTTAGCTTACTATTGCTAAGAATATTCTTTACATTGCATGATGTTCTCTCTGTGAAGGCTGATGAGAAAAGTTACGTTAAGGTGTTCACAGCAGGAATATTTGCTTTTTCCTAGACCAGAGAATTAGTTTTTCCTTTTTAATCTTATAGACCTAGAGAGTATTTTTAAAATAAAAACATACTAAATGAACTATTATTAGCAGTGTTTAATATATATTATGATTAAATATACAGTAAATATATAAGTATACATATATAATATTATTTATTATAGTACTAACTTCTATTAGCTTAAAATTAAGGAATGAGAACCAAAAGGGAAAGTTGGGATTTCAAATGTTTAAGTTATTGATGTCAAATAGAATATCTTTAAACTAGTTAGCTCCAATAAAGTTGAATTATTTAATATTTATTGAGGGCCTACTGTATATTGGATTATATTGTTTTGGCATTTGAGTTATTTTAATGAATAAAATAAAAATCCCTAGCCACAGAGATTTTGTATTCTCAGAAGAGATCATAAAAGTAATACAATCCTTGCTGTAATTGTTAGTTTGACACTTAACATAACTTTTGATTTTAAACTAATTTTAGGAAGTTAAGATTGTTTATGCCTCATCTAATTTGATTCATTAGATACACTAAAGGAGAAGCAAGCCCTTAGAGAAGCTATAAATA